TCGTAATTTTTCTTTTTGAATGCTTAAGTATTCCAATAGGCTGCCAATCCAACGTGGGATTTTTTCAAAATAATGCTTAATAACAAAGTTGAAATAAGATCTTCAACTGTTAATATCTTCTAGAAATTTTCGAAAAAAATGTTCAATATTTTTCTGGTACTTTCCAAGCGAGCCTCTATCACCCCTTAAAAGGAATGACGCCAATTTTGAATCACCCTGTATTTGTTCTGCTGATTTTTACTCTAACTTCAAGTAGGGATTATTAAAGGTTTTTGTCTCTATTTCTCTAAGTATCACAAATCGAATAACTTAGAATTGATTATAGTCGAGGTCTATCAAACAAGACCAAGAACAGGACTTGCATGATGATCTTAATAACAGTAATTATAAGTAAGAGACAGCCAAAATCTCAGGATGTTTCCAACGTGATTTCCGTATGATTTCTGAAATCTGAAGCTTTTATACATACAACAATTACAATTTTGACCCTGCTTTTCTTGCAGGATTAATTCTTGCATTTCAAAAATTTAGCTAATTCATGCTTTTGAAGCAGTCGATTTTAGCTCTTACGGTAAACATTAATGGGCGGAATGTACATGGAAATTTCTAAAACCCTCCGTTTTCTCCGAAAGCGATAAGTTTGACTAAAAGCCGTCGACCTTAAAACTTTCACCACTGTGTTATATTGAATAGTCCTCGCACTAAATGCCGTTTTACTCACCTCCCCGTGACAGTCTTGAACTACACCCGCAATAGCATGTGAATGATTGTGAAATTCTCCTTATTCCAACTTTCTGAGAATCTCTTTCAACGAACAGGTCGTCCCAAAAGAGTTTGCCTGACATGCTGAGAATAGACCCCTTTTAAAGAGGATTTCGTTTAGGTAAAACTACCACCTGACTGTTTCACTCTCCAAAAGAGAAATATGATGCTGAACAAGTGTGTATTGTGTATGAATATTAAATTCAAGATTAAAAGATAATTTCATGGTAAAATAGCTCTTTCCAAGAATTCATTCCAATCTTCTTCACTTCAATCTTCATAGAAAAGCTCAATCCAACCGACCAATTTGGTTGGTACAAATCAAAAGCCAAAAATTCCTAAAACCGAAAAAATCTGGAATCCTGGAGCTTCAAGATATCCACAGCTTCGCTCTTTCCTTAAATACGAACTGAGAATTAAAGTTTCGTAGTAAATATCCAATTAATTAGAGCGGATTTTCCCACAAAAGCAAAAGCACCGAATTTTTTTATCGCCCCTTGTACAAGCGATCCGACGCCTTCATGGCGGCAACTAGCAAAACAGCGGTCAATCTTCGGTTGCCTATAAGCCAACATTATATTGATGTGGTCGCATCCAAATGAAATGTCCAAAAATCTATTACCACAAAATATCCCCCAGGGGTTATGTTCTGTGATCTATTACAATGTTTTTATTGAGGAATATTCGCTATAATCCTGATACGCTTAAAGTCTTGTTATGGGCCCAAATACTGTTCAGCATCTTCGCTCAATTGGGAGCAGTTAATCATTGGATAGTTACTCAGAGTGGGAAAATCCAAGCTTTTGTAAGTAGAAAAACACATTTAGGTTAGGGCGGTTTGATTAAATATATTCGGGAAATCATCAATAAAAGCCCCCTTAATGAATAAGACATTGAATTGCAGTTGGACTCGCCGTTCGACCTTCGCAAGCCGGATGATCTTTTGGCGCTTCTGGACCAGGAGAGTCGCAAAAACGACATCCATGATCTGTACGAAGATCTGCTGGCCCGTAAGACTGCCATAGAGAAAAAGTGGATTGATATTGATAAAAACTCAAATGTGGCCTCGAAAGTCACGAGTGAAGATGTGGACTGTTTGGCTGCACACAATCTGTATGGTGATGTGGATTTTTACAACAACATTGCCACTAATGGGTCGGAAAGGGGCATTGCCATTGCAATGCCCAAGAAGATTAATATGGGGAAAGTGAAGGCTTCCAAAGAACTCAAAGTGCCTCTATGTATGCAATTGACTCCTGCCCGATGGTCGGAATCGCTAATCAACAAGACAAACTTGACAATTCAGCCAGAGGAAGCCCTGCGAAAGACGTTTTTGCCAGTCAAGTCTTTGGAACAGTTCGGTTACTATATTGTAAAATCTTTGAAGCAGAATTCCACTTCATGGGTACATTACAATCTGGCTTCGTTCTACTGGAGAATTAAAGGCGAAGGCGACAAAGCCATCGACTGCTTGAAACTCGCCATACAATTCGTTACAGGGTGTGTTTAACCGTTAAACTTCCTTTTCGACAGTCGATTTAAACGCGAACAATTCCAGGAATTTCGAGGATATTCCGCTGCATAACCTGGCAGGAATCTTGCATCAATCTCGTCACTCCAAGGAGGCGATCCAGATCCTACACAGCGCCATTCAATTCGCACCGAAAGAACCCAAACACTATTTGGCAATGGCCAACATCTATGCAGCTTTGCGTGACTTTAACAGTTCGATCTCTTACTACGAGAAGTTCTTGGAGCTGGATCCGCATAATCAGGAGGCCGCTAGTAATAGACATGCTGTTCTCTGCTACTACAAGTTGGAAACGGCTCTCACCTCATTTCAGAGGTTTGCACCATCCGCATAATCCCATATAGCCATAGACAGTTCATTTTCTTGCAGCGAGTTGCAAAATATTCTCGCAGAACTGCATGACTATCACAGCGTTCAACAGCAGTGGCTGCGACTACAAGAACGGCTAAAGTGGGAAACTGCCTCATTTGACTATCAGTATGAAGCGATGGATCTTGAAATAATCGACACACCTAAAAAAGTATTAGTAACAACATGGGGAAATAATTGAAAAACTGAATAAAATTTTCCGTTTAAGGTGCAGAGATGTATGAAGAAAAGTACCGGGGGCAAACCAGTGATTTCTTGCGATTTCTACGAAAAGGCGCCAAAAGTAGACAGGGTGAATCTGCAAAGTCTGTTCCAAATCGTGGAAAACGAGAAACAGAAGCTGATCGTTCAGCATCCCCTTAATTTGCACAAGAAGGAAATTGGGCTGGAGAAATTGAAACTAAAGGAGCGTCCCATTGTGATGGGATACCCAAAATTTCCCATCAGCATGCCGATTAAATGTAAGCTTAATACCCTTAACCGCATCTCAGGTAAGTAAGTTTGATTTTCATCTCAGATGATCTGTATTTCGACAAAACCGGCTGGCCGACAAAGGAGGAGTGTCTTGAGTGGAACCTGCCATTGGAGGAAGAAGACAACCTCAACCTACCAATCTTTCTGCCCCCTGACAACAAGGGCTACTTGTAAGGATTAGCACGTTTAAAACTACTTTCAAACTACATCTGGGAGCAATTTAAGGCTAAAAAAGGCGATTACTGACGATCTGAACCTTCCGAATGGTACGCAGCACGAGTTGCCCTGGTACCCGCCAATTTGTGAGGCCCCAGACGTTAACGGAGAGAAGTTTTTGCCATTGAACGAAAGACATCAGCTTGATGTTGAGCGGAAGAGTGACGGGTATTTGAAAAAGACGCTTTTGGAGTATGTGAACGAAGGGTACACGGATAAGCACGAAATTGGGCAGAGAATTATCAGCGCTTTGGACAAGGTGGGTTTATTGCCAGTCGATTTTTGGGTGTGATTTTGAGTTTGTTTAGAAAACCGCCCCTAGATGGGTTTTAGCCACCTTGGCCAGCCTCTATTGGCGAATCAGGGGCAACATCAGGAAAACCCTAGACTGTCTTGATATGGCCTATCAAAGCGCCCCCAAGGAGCACATGGATGTCGTTTTGGTTTCTTTGGGTTCAACTGTTAAGCTTCTAGGGATGCCGGTAAGGGAATTGAGTATAATCTGTTGATATGCAGCGATCTGAGCTCGGTTAAATATCAGGATCAGTCCCTAAAGTTCGCCAACTCGGCCTTTAAAATCAATTACATTGAACCTGCCACCAATTTCCTGCTGGCCCTGCTCAAATATGAAGATGGTGACATCATTGCCGCCATGAACAACTTGAAAAATATTCTGCGCGCCGATCCAGGGTTTTATAATGGAATGGCCGAGAAACTGCTCAAGGTTTGGTCATGTAGAATCAAGCTGGGCACAGGTAATTTTTTTGCCGCGTTTTATGCTTGATTGATGGATGCATTGTACTTTTAGGCCCAATCAACACCGAAGTAAAGCAGCCACTCTGCACCAAAACAAAGACGCTTAAAGGTGGATTGATTCATTGCGATGAGAAAAACATGCATTGCAAGCACGAGGATATTGAATGCGTTAGAGTGGATAAGCAGCGCAATTCTGATATTTTCGAACAGTGCAAGGACAGCCCTAACATGAATTTAGGTCAGTGAGTACCTGCCAAAGTATCATTTTGTGTGATTTTATGCTGAATAAATGAGTCCCGAATTAAGAATGTTCGTCAATTTTTCAGGAACCTATTTGAGGCAGTTTTTTGCCAGCTTGGCTGTCGGTTTTTAGACGCAATCGAGCTGGCAAAAGTCTGCATGGTGTACACACTCGACACGCTAAAAGTTTTCAATGCAGTGTTTGTTTCTTAAGGCGATAGAATTATGACTACTCTTGCCGCGGCGGAGATTCGAGATGATGATGAACATTCGCGCTCCTTGATGGGCCTGTCTTTGGGAGGCGAGCATTTTTTGGATAAGTACAAAAGCAGCGACGCAAATGGAGATTTCAATGGTATGGGCCGGAAAAGTGGTAAAAATTCTCCTGGTTTTATACGGGTAATTTTTCAGTTTCTTTGGCTGAAAACGACATTTCCGATAGCGAGCCACGGCTGAACATTTCACATCATGACCAGACTCACCTTTTATCCACTTCAGTGTGCCAGCGCGTTAATCTGCTGCAGCCTTTCAAGTATTCTCAGCTTTGGGAGTTTATCAAATTCCACATGATTGAGTAAGTGTCTTTTTTCTACATACACTGTTAGTTTTGCGAGTTTTCAATCTGCAATTACTCAGTTTTCCCATTTTTTATTCAAAAAAATTTCTGAATAAAGGATTGGAAAATAATTTGAATCCACCCCGTAGCATAACGGCAAATTTCTTCGGAACTTTTGGCTTGAGCCAGAGTGAGAACAACATATCGGAAATCACGGGCGTTGTTGCACTTTGCCGATTTACGAGGGTGAATTCTTAAATGCTGCAGCTTTCGATTCGTGCACCTGCATGGATAACTACCCTTGTTTTTATTAAGATGATGTTCTTGCTCATGCTGTGCGCTTTTCAACAAAAAAAAAGTTTTTGTTTCCAGTATTGAGCCCTACTTGAATGCACCCTCATTAAAAACGCCCAAAGACTCCAAACCTAATTGCATCCAAATGATGAATCCGCACATGTCATATCGCTTGGATGAGGTAACGTTGAAGGTTCTGGGCGCTAAACTACCGAATGTGTACGATCGGAACCTGACGGAGTTTCTGCAGTTGATTTGCGGAAGTCGAAAATCCAACGCAAGGGAACTGGGGGTTAAAATCAGTGAAGCTTTAGCTTTGGTAAGTGGCGAAAAACTTCTCATGAAATTGAAGTCTTTGAGTCGTTCTTCAGGACAGTACGAATTGGAAGTTGCTGATGGCTTCAGCCATTTACTGGATTGTGTATGGAAATATGGAATCGGCCGCAATTTGCATCCGGAGCGCTCTGGCGAAAGTGCCGACTTCGCACTTGGATATTCCGCTCACATTCTTCAGCCACTTACTAGCAAAGTAAACCGATAGTTTAGTGCCGTAATTAAATGCATTTTTTCACCAGACAATTTCAGCGCTGGTTGGCATCAAGAGAGTCTGGAAATGGCCTATTTAGCTGTGACAGTCAGTCCGCAGAATGTGTGGAACCACTTCAGAGTGGCCGAGATGTTTATCAAACTGGTAACTACTCGCTTTCCCAATAATGAATAAGGGCTGATTCGATGCGATTGTTTTAGGGCAAGTTTGAGGATGCAGTCCCCTACTTGAAAGCCAGTTTACAGGAAAATGCGCAATTTTTTCCGGCTCAAGTGAGGCTGAAGGCAGTGCTTTGCAAGCTGCTGTTCGAAGATGGCTACAATCATGGCAGCATTACAGCGAAGATTGTAGATGACTAAAAAACGTGAGTATAATATGTCGGTTCTTGCAAATTTAAAAAGATTTCGTGATTAACTGACCTGGAAGCTATTTTCCACACGCTTTCTTGACACATTTCCTATGCATTTCCGTTGTCATTCTACCGTTAATCCTCTGGATGCGATTAGTATTCGTTTTGTGATCGTGAAGAAAACTGAAAAGATCGCACCCCCTTTGAAATCAAATGGGGATGAGAATCCACAGAGAAAAACAGCTAACTTTGATCAATTTATGTGATACTTACTATTAGATTTGGCGTCCAATTCTCAATGTTTCTCCCCCAATCTGTTAAAGAATCGCAATCGAATGTTTGATTGCGATTGTAGCCCATTGTAGGTAGGTACCTAAAAATCATTCACTTGTGTAAAAGTGTACTGTCTAGATGTTTACCCAATTTTTTCCTAAATATATTTGAAAATATATGGATCTACATTGAAAACTGTCCATGTTGTTTGAGAAGTCCCACAATAGCCGCTGTCACACGCACAAGAGTTTTAAAAATCTCTCTTGTGCAGCGTCCAGCAGCTGCAGTGGGTTTCAAATTGCCGATTTTTTCCTTGGTTTATTTCACAAAATCCTCCCAAATCGCCAGTAAATATGCAATTGGAGACATGATAATAGTCCCATTGTCGTTTTGCATATTTAATGTAACGGGGAACATCTGTCTTTCTTCCACTCAATTGAATCAAACTTATAATTATTATTATAGGTAATTTGTGGGCCGTCAGTAGTACGCTATCATCAATCGATTTGTCAGTTGAATATTAAGTATTTAGGAAGTTCGCTACTTTGCCCTCGTATACTTTCCCAGCACAACTTTTTCCAGCCTTGTCAATAAATAATGTAAGTTGTTGTAAAATGTTCCCACTTTACTAGCTGCCTTATTGATTTCAAGACATTTTTTGCAAAAATACATAATTTCAACGGATCAAAAAAGTTATTTTGACTGTAAAAGTATTAGACTGTCGCCGATAGGAACTTGGTTCTGCAACCAAATTTCCATGTTTGGATTTAAGGATGGTAAAACAATACCTCCTGACGTTTCGCTCGCACGCATGGTTGGCCTCTTCAGAGTTGTGTGACCCGAAACGAACGCGCCTCTGAAGATGGTCACCATGCGTGCGAGCGAAAATGCAGGAGGTGTTGTTTTACCATCTTTAAATTCAAACATGGAAGTTTAGTTAGATTGTGTGTGAAAAACAGCAAATTTCCTTCCAGCAAAGTAGTAATAAAATGACCCAAAAAACTCTCAATAAAGTTGCAATTGCTACCGGTTTTATCGAATTTATTGCCTAAAAATATATATATGGTTTAGATGAGATAAAAGACGAAAGTACAAGAAGAAACACCCTTCGGGCCCGACACTGATTAGAACGCAAAATATGATTGAAACAGTTTGTGTCACAACATCGACATTAATTAGATTTCGATGTATTTGTTCGAGCCCTTCGGACACAACACTGCTTATCTAAACTTACCGCATGGTAAACATCCATTCCACTGCATAAATCTCCTTTTCATGCCTAAGAAAGTGTTGCGCTCAATGCATAGCTAGGTAGAAACTAGTGCTCGAAATTTTTAAAAATTTGAAATTCGAAGTCGTTTATGGTTTATTCGAAGAGTAAAATTATTCGAATACTCGAATATCTAACGAATATTCGAATAATTGAATATTGGAATATTCGAGTATTCGAGTATTTGATTACTCGAGTATTCGTTTTCCGTTCACCGTTTTCCAAGAAAAAAAATCGTTATCTCATCATTTTTGGCAACTAGCCGCAACGGATAAAAAACTGCCTTTGTCGGCACATTAATTGTAACACCGCGCAAATGATTATTTTCATTTGCTTGTAAATACATGGGTATTTGTTTAAATGTTTGTAGAATATAAATAATTTATTTTATAAAAATATACAAAGTGCATATAAAGATATTTGCACCTTGTGAGTTTGATAATGTTGGTGTATTCGAGTATTCGAGTATTCGATTATTCGAGTATTCGAGTATTCGAATATTCGAGTTATGACTAGATATAATTATTCGCTTTTTGAATCTTCGAATACTCGAATACTGGAATTATTCGAGTTTGATTCCGAGCCCTAGTAGTAACCGCAATATAAAGCTCGAATTAAAAGCAAATAAAAAATTGAAAATATTTAAAAAAATGGTTCTTACCAAGTGGGTGGAACGTAACTAAAGGATCGTCACCGGATCGCGGCTGACGCTCGCCGAGTCAAATAGAAAACAGATAGAACTGAAGTATTTATTGGGCTTCATCCCCTTTATAAGTAAAAACCCCTCCACCCCAGAAAGTCTAAAGCCAAAGCCAATATTGCATTTACCTTGTCTTTATCGACGGTTTCTGTCTGTTTTTGTAATGTGATTAAATCCGATATGGGCTTCATGCACGGTTTGGACAAACTTTGCGTTTTAAAAATATTTTTTACTTTGTTTATCCATTTCGACTGTATTGGTTTCTACATTTGGATTGTGTTGTTTGGAGTTTCTTTTCATTAGTTGGAGTTTGTTTTATTTCGGTCCGGTTATTTTAAAATCGTTTGTGTTGGTTTTGGTTTAGTAACGTTAAAAGTCACAGAAATGACAGCGACTAAAACACATTTTTCTCTTTCGAGTACGAAATTTAGTATTTATTTGTTGTCCTTGAATTTTATCAACTTTGGTAAATCCTTGGAATTTTTCGTAATTTTCTCCACTGCTTATATGGTTTGCCTGTTCACTGCGGATGAAAACCCTCGATTTTTAGTTGGCTCGCACTTGCAGTATCTAGAAATTTACAGTAGAATTTGCTGCACTCTATTAACTCATGCGTTTGCCATAGTTTATATTTGTTTGCGTTTACGTTTTCGAAAATTTCACAGTTTTAAATGGATTCAAACACAGTTTTTTTCATTTCACCGTCTAAGAAAAACATCATTTTTTTCATATCTAAAACAAAAATATCATTCTTGTTTGCTACTTCAACGGGATTTCGATTGGCGCAAAATAAAAGCGTGTTTTTTCAAACTGCCAACGTTTTGCCGTATTTATTTTGGGCCTCCTCAGGGTATTGCGTTGCATTGAGAAAGATTCTAATATGTTGCCCCGTTAAATTTGTCTTAAACGTCCCTACTTGACTTTTTTTGGGAGTCCCAACTGTTTTTTCGAGTTTTTGGACCGTAGTGGACTAGAATGTCTTCCTAAACACCGCAGCATATAACTGAACTTTTTAAGAAATGCACTTGATTGGTACAAATTGGATCCACCTCGTAGTACAACGAGGAATTTTTTTGGAGCTCCCGCCGTGGTCAAGAGTGAGAGAAACATATCGGAAAACCTTGGCCTTGTTGCACTTTTTCTATTTACGAGGGTAGATTTTTAAGTTCTGCGGCTTTCAGTCCGAATCGGCTACTTGCAAATGGTCCCATCTGCGTTTCAACCGCCATCAAATACGCTCAGATGCTCGTTTAGAATTTAATAAATGATCCAAAATATTCCTGCTTTTATTAGTTCGTCTTTAATTGTCTTTAATTGTCTCCAGAAAAATGGAAATTCGAGATAAACATGCAATGGAAGGTAAATTCTGGGGCGCATTAAATGTTAATAAGGTCTCGTCGTTCAGCCGGAAGGAATACGGCGTGTGGATGTCTTCCTTCCGTTTTTCGAAACCTTACAAAATTGGATCTCGCTTTACATATCCCACTGTATTGGGGGATTATGCTGAAGCCCCAGTAAAATGTGTAAAATGCACCCAAACCAGGGCCGGGGAAAATTGTCGTTTACATCAGTGAGGTCTTCGGCTTATCGATGGGAAAACCGTAACATCAAAACATCGTAAGGAACGCACAATCTTATATAAAACGGAGATATCTGCACCCCATACGATGTTGAGAATATTAGCGCCATTTTGGAGTTGTTTTCTCGCAGCTTTTGATCAATTTTGCTGGTTGCAAGTGCTGATTCTGTTGCTAAAAAAAACGAACCCATTATGGGCAGAAACTAGTCAAAAGTCAGTTTCTTGCCCAAATCGGCCCATTTCTCTTAGCAATGTCAATGGTTACGCCCCTGCGGTAATTCGAGAGCCTGAGGAAAGTATCCGGTTAAAAGCCCTAAATTGAATTAGCTACATGCTTAATACTAATTAGGATTTTTTGTTTTTATTTGCTCAGTTATATTTGTAATCAGTTATAATCTTTGCACAGTTACAGGCCAATAAGTTTCAAGGGCAGGAATGAGTTTTCTTGGGTCATTTATTCATATCGGCCATATGGATTGTTCCCACTGACATTATTTTTCCAACAATCAATGAATCTGTCGCAATTGCAGTTAACCAGTATTTTTAGAAAACCCCGTCTTAATTATGTAACGGGTAATTTTTTCCTCAGATAGACCAGCGCTTGGGTAATTGCCTTTGAAGTGTTTGCTTTTCAATTATTTTACTCATTTTGCTGCTTTTAAACTCACATTAGAAAGCCACATATTATCAACAAAGGGTTTATAGATGTTTGGAGGATTTAAACTTATGCGCTTTGTCTAGAAGTGCGACGTCTGTGGCTTTTGTCAGTAAGTCATGCTCTTGGCGTAAACCAAAAATTGAATTAATTTGATTTTCAATTTTACACTCTTTTATTTTAGTGACAGAATAATCTGTCTTTAATCAAAAGTGTTCAAAATTCTTCACACTTAAAGTTTTATGTCCATTTTTTTCAATTGAAGCGCGATTTATCCAACATTTTTTAACAGCAATCATGTTGAACTGAAAAAAAGCCGACTTGAACCGAAGAAACGTGCTATTTTCTTAAGAAACAAAATAATCTGCATATTCAGCGAGTGGATTTTGCAAAATTTTTCCCTTTATAATTTTTTTATATTTTTCTTATAAATGTATCGTGCTTTATACGGAATTTTGCAATAACATAATGTTTAACTGAAGAAAATCGGTTTAAAACAAAAACACACCAAGGACAGAATAATCTGCATGTTAAGCGAGTGGAGTTTGCAAAACTATTAAATTATTTCGAATTTTTGTTCGAATTTTGAAGGAAGAAGCGCAGTAGAAATAGAAAAATGTGCATGTTAAGCGAGTATAGTTTGCGAAATGTTTCACTCGTTAATTTTTTTGCACTTTTTCGGAAAATTGTTTCATTTGAGCGGTTATTATATAGAATTTAATAACCATGATAATTGTTTAAACCAAGTCGGATTAGAACGAAGAAACGCGCTAAAGACAGAATAATCTGCATCTTAAAGTCAAGTTGGCAAAATTCTTTATTCTTATATTTTTTTGCATTTTTTTGCAAATTTATCAATCGAAGCGCGCTTTCTTTATACATAATTTTTCAATAACGGTCTACTCACTCAACTCATGTTTATCTGAAGATAAGCGGTTTGAAGCGAAGAAACGTGCTGTTTTTTTAAGACGGAAAATAATCTGCATATAGAGCGAG